TGGTAGATTTCCCTATCTTTTGAAGTCTTCAGTTTTTTTTTTTTAGTGTTTTGTAATTTTTATTATAAAGGTCTTCTGCATATTTTGTTAGATTAATTTTACCATATTTGAGATTCCTCTTGACTATTTTAAAGAGGACTGTATTTACAACTTCTTTCTCAGCCATGGAGTTATCTGGAGCCGAGCCAATCCGGAGCCAGGAGCCTCTTCCGGGTCCTCCAACGTGGGTGCAGAGTTCCAAAGCTTTGGGCCATCCTGGACTACTTTTCCAGGCCACAAGCAGGGAGCTGGATGGGCAGCAGGGCTACTGGGATTAGAACTGGCACCTGTATGGGATCTTGACACATTCAAGGAGAGGACTTTAACCACTATGCTATCGCGCTAGTCCCCAGTTTCAATTGTTTCTTGATTGAGTCTTTTGGTTCTCCTATGTAGAGAATCATGTTGTCTACAAACAGGGATAATTGTAATTCCTCAGTTCCAATCTGAATTCCTACATCAAACTAAAAAACTTCTGTACAGAAAAGGAGATGATCAACAAAGAAGCAGAATAGGAGAAAATCTAGGCACACCATGCAACTGACAGTAGACTAATACCTAGGATTTATGGAGAGCTTCAAGAACTCAGCAAAACAATCAAGCCTGTGAAGAAATGAGTGAAGGAAATGAACAGACATGTTTCAAAAGGACAAATTCAAACGGCAAACAGACATAAAAACAAAAATGCTCAGGCTCCCAAATGTCAGGGAAATGCAAATGAAAATCACCTTGAGGTTCCACCTAACTCCAGTGAGTTTGTTCTATATTCAGAACTCTACTGACTCCTGCTGGTTTAGATGTGGGCAGAAAGGTAACCTCCTCTGTTGTTGGTGGGAATGTAGGCTGCTATAACCACTAGGGAAGTTAATGTGCAGAGTGCTAAGCAAACTGAAAAATGACCCGCCATACGACCCAGCTATCCCACTTGCAGAAATATTTCCAAAAGGAAAAATATCATGTGTTCTAATATAAGGCAACCTCCATGCAAAATATGATATCAATTGCCCTTTCATTACTGTTTTTGTTATATCACAGGGGTCTAATTTTTTTCCCTTCAGTCAAAAAAAAAAGTTGTTGGTTTTTTTGGATCCAGCACGGTGGCCTAGGGGCTAAAGTTCTCACCTTGAATGCACTGGGATCCATATGGGCACCAGTTTTAATCCCGGCAGCCCTGCTTCCCATCCAGCTCCCTGCTTGTGTCCTAGGAAAGCAGTTGAAGACAGTCCAAAGCTTTGGGACCCTGCACCTGTGTGGGAGACCTGGAAGCGCTCCTGGCTTTGGATTGGCCCAGCTCCAGTCATTGTGGCCACTTGGGGAGTGAATCATGAGATGGAAGATCTTCCTCTCTGTATATCTGGCTTTGCAATAACAATAAATAGATTTTTAAAAAAAGTTTTCTCTTGTTGGTTTCCTCACTGACTCATCTGTCACACAACAGCACTGTTTGCTTCATGAAGGTCTTTTTTTTTCATTTCTTCATTCTACCATGTTATTTAATTTCATGTTGTAAATTTTCTAGTTTTCTCTTATTGATTTGTTTTATGGCTTTTTATTAAAGGGAATGCACTATAAATAACGGTGTAGTAGATACTATCACATACAGATGTAAGGATACAATGCAGTGTGAGCTCTACTTCCAAATAAAAGATGGACTCCCAATGAAATTGTTGGATGTATCTTGACAATAAGATGCTGGACTCTGTCATTGTCCATGCCTACAATGTCAGGATACACTTACGATGGACTGAGCAATGACTGTGATGGACCAGAGTATTGTAATGACACGGAAGACATTAGAGGAAGGGAAGGGCCTTGGGAGGTGGGAAGGAAAACCGTGGAGGCTATGAAACTATATTATGGAAAATAAATAAATAAATTTTAGAAATGAAATGAGTGGTTAAAAGATCATAGACCTAATCTGAAACCATGTCTGGCAAAATCTTTTGTATGATTCGGAGTAAGACTTCTAGATCATGAACAAATCGCAGTAAACACTTTCTGCCTTCTCATGTTATAACTGGGAAAACTGTGGGCCAGAGGAGGATGTAAGGGCAAAGTTTCTTTCATGGAAGAGTACATCAGACAAGACCACGTTAAGAACAGAACACTTGGCATTACATCACCTTGTGCCCGCAGGTGCACGATCTTCACATCTTTTCAAGTGCTTCTCTTTGGACTTACAGGCAGAAAAATCAAGACATCTCATTTGCCCCTAAGCACTGAAATCTCAACGCAGTTCCTTAAATTCTTAACTCCATTTACTCACTCATGGGAGAAAAGTTGCAAGTACAATTTTTGTAGGTATCTTTTTTTTTTCTCATTTGTTTTTACTCCATGCAATTTTGATCAGGTCGACCAAGAACATGTAAGCTGCCAAAGAACACATATGCTACAGCTAGATTTTTTTTTCCTTTGTATAATGTTTGAGACAGTAAATGTGCTTGGTTATGTTAACCACACAAACTGTTCCTGCCCTGCAGCTGCAGCTGAGGAGGGATTTGGTGAGTCTTCAGGCAATCACCATAGACAGAACTCTTACATCTTCTTCCCTTCTAAAATACTCAATTTTAGGTAGGACAGTCAGCATAGCTTAACATCAGCTTCCAGCTAAAAACCAGGAGTCAGCCCTTCATCTAGTATTCCAACTTCACATCCAGTTTATGGAAATCTTATTTTTTTATCTTTTAATCTTCAGAAAAACCAGTAGTCTGTTTAATTACTGCAGCTACATTTTAAGGGGTCTCTTAACTTTGACCCTAACCCTCCACATGGCTTATTTTCAACACAGCTCACACCATCTTTTTATCAGGCTATTCTGTGCAAAATGTTTCAGAGCTCCTCCAGGTCAATTACAAGACATCTAGTTTCTTCAACAGCAGTCTTCCTACTCCCGTGGAGCTCATTGTTGCCCACTTCCTTGTGCAGGAATGTTCTTTGTCCAAGTTATCTCCCTCTCTCCTCACTGTTCACATACTACCTCAGGGCAGGTGTGTCCTGACTACCCTACTTAAATATCCATACGCCCACACACACCAAATCCTCACCTATTCAGCGCTCCAGTTATCTCCACAGCATATATTACTAATGCCAGATTTTCCAGGGTGTGATTCTCTAGAACTTTCTAGCAAACTGCCAGGTGAAGATGCCCAGGGATTGCATCTTTGAGAATCTGTTTCAGGAAATTCTTTTTGCATTCAAACCTTTCTGATTTAGGTGGGGCTAAACCACAAGTAACCATTAAAACTCAGAAGTTGGAGCCTCATCCCTGGATTTCTGAATTCGTATGGCATAGGCAGGGCGTGAAGTCTGCATTCCTCACAACCGCTCTTTGAGAACCACTGGTCCCCTAACACATGATGTGCATTTTATGAAGTTTGTTGTTTCTTCACATTAGAATGCGAACTGCATGAGACCGGGATTGCTTTCATGCAAAGAATAACTCAGGCATCTAGCAGCTCAACAAAGACCCACGGAACGAATCAATGAAAACAGCTTATGCTTGGGCTGTATCAGAAAATCTGTCCTAGCTTTCTCATCATTTTTATATAAAGAAATACACACGAGAGTCCAAAATCATGATTCAGCTCCGTCTTCTCATACAAGAAAGCATTCTAGAGTGTTGGACCACTGAGACAATGGAGATCTGATGTCTGAGGAATAAATTATTAATAATAATTGACATTATAGCATTAAAGCTAAGTATAAATAGTTATGGAATACTATTATCATGAAATCTATTTCATTTAATTATCATTTCAATCACTGACCTGGTTAGGTGGTATCACTTGTGAAGAGGACTTCCTGAAGCTCACACAGCCTACTAATGATGGACTCAGTGGCTTCCTACGTATCCTTCCATCACCAAGCTCTCCCAGTGAGCAGCTAGGGGAAAGGTATGAAAAGGGCTGGCACCTTGACTCTTCAGTGTTCAGACCTGATAGAGTTTAAACTAGAAAGTGCTGACCTGCATTTTCCTCTTGTGATACTACATAATCCTAGTCAAAGTTCCTACGAGAGTAATACTGGACAGTTATACCAGAAAACTAGATGCAAATGCTCAACTTCATCAATAAATGCGCAAATATTTTGTCAAAGGAGGAAATGATTTTTTAGAAGGCATGCTTTCTGCATTGATTTAGAATAGTTCATTTGGTCTATAGATTTACTCTACTAAACCCTATGCAAACAACAACACATTTATGCAGAGAAAACCTAGTACAAGTGATTATGGAGTTAGCGTTACTTTCTTCCAAACAGCCTGTTAAAAAAATGTTAGTAAACATTTCCTTAAAGGGCCAGACAGTATTTTAGACTTGCAAGACACAATTCTGCCACTGGGGAAAGTAATGATGGATAAAATATAAGCAAATTGGTATGATTCTATTCCAATGAAATGTCACAGAACATGTGACCAATTGGTTGCTGGCCCCTATGGTAAAGGATTCCAATCTCAGTGGCATGAATGACACGAACCAGATAATACCCAGGGCAAGTCGCCTGATTTATTTCTGTTTAAAAAATTGTTTCTTATGGGCCTGGCGCGGTGGTGCAGTAGTTAAGGTCCTCACCTTGCACTCCCCGGATCCCATATGGGTACCGGTTCTAATCCCGGCAGCCCCGCTTCCCATCCAGCTCCCTGCCTGTGGCCTGGGAAAGCAGTCGAGGACTGCCCAAAGCCTTGGAACCCTGCACCCATGTGGGAGACCCGGAAGAGGCTCCTGGCTTCGGATCGGCATAGCATCGGCCGTTGCGCTCACTTGGGGAGTGACTCATCGGACGTAAGATCTTCCTCTCTGTCTCTCCTCTCTGTATATCCGCCTTTCCAATAAAAATGAAATAAATCTAAAAAAAATTGTTTCTTATTACAGAACTTTATATTTTCTTAATGACACTGACATAAACTACTGACAATTTTACCATGCAAATCAAAATTGGCAGTTGGCTTTGTAATAAGTTTGAACGAAAAAAGAAACCTTGTATTTATTTATTTATTTTTACACAGCACAAATGCAGGTGACATGGTGAGTCCATAGTTTCTCACACATTTATGAACTGAACAACTGAGAACCTAAAGGCTTGTCCATCCTCTCGCTCAGTCACAGCTGTGTACTCTACGGATCCGACACAGCAGCAGAGGAGAACCTCAACTTAAAGCACCAAGTGTCCAGGTGTTCCCACGGATATGCTTTCCTTCCCTAAGACATGCAGTTAGACTGCTGATGCAGCAAATACCAGCTCACCTTAAGCTTCAGTGGGTAAGGAAAGACATCTGGGAAACCAACATTATTCTTCTACTGTTATTAGGCCCGGAAGCCACTCTACCTCTTTATCAGATTATTTTTCTTTCCATGAATTTTAAACTTTTATGTAGTTATATTTGATGAATAAATTGACTTTTGAACACAATGTTTTTTGGTCAATCTAACAGTTTAGGACATTCATTTGTTTTATATCTTGAAGAAAACAAAAAAAAAATCTCTTATCTAGACTATTTTGGAATCTTTATGCAATTTAGAATATTATAGCAAAGTATTACGATTCATTTATCCAAAAATTATGTATTCTAAAAAATTCCCTCAGGGTTTGTAAATTCAAAAAGCTTATTTCCCATGTATATTTCCTGGAAGGGTGTTTTTACCTTTTGAAGCAGGATTCAAAGGGTATTTTTAGGTTCTTGCTAATATCAGCCCTAATATTAACCAGCCATTACTGGATCCACTGAGTAGACAATAAAAACTGGTTGAACTGCAGATGAATGCTTCAAAACGAATCTGACACAATTTTCACTGTCAAATTCAAAGCAACTGAAGTCTTTCTTAAAACTGTGCTCCAGATAGGCTGAAGATAGAGAGAGACAGACTGTGTTAGTCCCTTCTGTGAAAAACGCTTGGACCTGCTGCGCTCACGCTTCATTCTCTGCCCGTCGTCAGCAGCCTCAGCGCTTTCTGCAGGTTCTCCACGGCAGTGCTGACATCTTCGTACTGCAAAGCACTGCCTGCGTACTTGCAGTACTTCTGAGCTCTAGCAAAGTCCTCGGGGGTGAGGCGGATATCGCCTAGAGAAAGAGACGAATTATAATATGTGTAGACCTACGGACAGCATTATGTTAGGTAAATGCTTACATTCAAGATTAGAGAAAATACTTAAGATTCATAAAAACACACGATTTTTCAATTTCTTATGCATTTTGATATTTTCTCTTTTATATTTTATTACTAATACAAGCCAGAAGATGCCAAGGCATAATAATTTATATGAGTAAGATTTTCCTTTAAGAGCAATAAACTATCTTTTCTATTTCAACAAATTAATAGCAATAAAAAATTACTTGTATGAAAACAAGAGCAGTGGCTTGGGATTTATGCCAGAGTCACAGACTCTCTTCATGGAATAATACACACAGACTAAATGGTTCAGCTCTTACTTGAGTTGCAATATAAATGCAACCCTTAGGATAAAAAGATGAATAAAAAGGTTTATGTAAAAGGTTACAAGTTATTTAATTTTTATATGCTGAAAATATTTCACATTTTTGTTCCACTATGTAAGAAATTTTTAAGGTTTACCAACATATCAACATTTTATATTACTAAAATATACAATGAAACCAGTAAAATTTCACACAAATTTATTCAAAATTTACTAGTAATTTTCCAGTTACATATCTAGGTAGCATGTGCCCAATAAATAATTTGGATTAAAAAAAAAGCAACAGTATTTAATTAAATCTCACATACAAATATATTTGAATACATACTTTGAAAGAGTTGAAAACAGTGTTAGTCAGAAATAACCACTTTAAAAAAAAAATCTGGGCAAACGGTGAACTATGTCAGCCAATGGACACTCAAAGTGCTCTTTCATCTTTGGATCAGTGAGATCAACAACATTTTAGAACTATCAAAACCACCTGGGCAGAACTGTTGGAGTGTAAGTGACATGATGACTTGGCTCGATATTGCTGGCCATTTCTCATCCCAGGGTGCTGGGGCAGTTGGGAGGTTGGGTGCGACATTTCGCCTGGTCTCCTGTCTCCCCCCAGATATGGTGAAAAAGAAATGGAAAACTTGGAAACAATGATCACACCCACTTTCCCCTGACCTATGATCCATCCCATCCTGATCAATTATGTAAACATCATCTAAAAATTTTTTTAAAAAGAAAAAAACATAAGAACAACAATATCCAGTCTGAAGAGAAAAACATCACAAAATAGTAGGCCAACTTACCCTGGGAAACTGTATTGAAAAGTGCAGGATCAATGGCTGGAATAGTCTGTGGCGTAGGCTCGATAGTATTACTTGCTACACCTGCAAATCAGAAAACAACACATGGGCATTAAGTAGCATACTTCTCAAATATATGCGAGGCAAGAACTTACAGGAATCAAGAAAGATATAACTACATAACGTAGAGGCTGCCAAGGAAGACATGTAGGCTATGCAGTCATATGTTACATGCTGGAGGTTCTACCTCCAGTCTAACATCATTTCTGTTCAAAGCAGAAGTCCTCCCTAGGTAACTGGCTTAAATGAGATCCAAGATGGCTGCCCACATGACCTTAGCTTCTTAAACAACTCATTTCTATGCTAAAAAGCACTACCACTGGTGGTTCATGACAGTTAATGATCACCACTACAGTCAGTAGAGGGGACAAAAAAGGCAGAAAAAGAAGGAAGCTTCTAAATTCCAAGAATTCAGACTCCATCCTAGAAAAGCTATAAACATTCCCCTCATTTATCAGCAGATTCCTGCCACTTCTCCTCATTCTGCATCTGTGACTGCAGCCTCCAGCAGCTGACAGGTTCACTTGCCAACTAGATTCCTGATTCTCCACTTGCTGCCTACTGAATAGTGTGGCTCTTGCTGCTCAGCTTGTTTTGTTACTACATTTTTCACACACGACAAAGGAACCCAATTTTGAGGTCCTCTGCTCCTGAAAAAGGAGATAGTATTACATGCATATTTTGACTACACGTTTCCTACTATGTGTTTTATTCCTCACGATTGAGATTTCAATTTTTTCTTAATTATTTCATTTTTTTCTTAATTAAAATTTAGCAATGTCTGTACAGATAATCTCTTTCCACTCTAAGTTCTTAGCCAATAAAATTACTTTGGGAAGTGGCAATTTAGCTTATGGAATGAGTTCCATTTTAATTGCACATGAAATTTCACATTATACAGCCCAAATTTTCCAATTTATGCGTTTCTTAACTTGAAAGAGACACAGCGTGAGACTCAGTGAGAGGAAGGAGCATAGGTCCAATGTGCTATCTAGTGCCCAGATGCTGGTGCTGACCTGAGCAGGCCCTAAGCAGGAACCAGAGCTCTATCCAGATGTCAGGGAGGGTGGCAGGAACTCCCCACCCTGAGCCTTCACCTTTGCTTTTAAGATTGCATATATATTTTAAAGTTTTATCTATTTATTTGAAAGGCAGTGTGACAAAGAGGGAGAGAGGTGAAGAAAGGAAAGGGAGAAGGAAAAGTAAAGGGGGGTGGTGTGACACACATACCATACACAGATTCAGCCATGTTAATTCACTGGGTCATTGCCTGCAAATGGCCTGCAACAACCAAGACTCAGCCAGGCTTGATGTGAGGAGCCTGGAACTCCATTCAGGTTTATGTGAGCAGCAAGGGGCCCACGTACTGAGCCATCATCTGTGTAGCCCATCCTTGGCTATTCCAGACACAAGTAGAAGGCATCAAATGGACCAAGGAATTATGTCTTTTTCAAATAAGCTGAACAAATATAAATATATATATATATACACACACACATATATGTAAGCATATATAAAACTAAAGATTACCCTCAAAAAGTAGGATTTAGAGCACAGAGAAAATTGGAAAAAAACACATGAAGAATACACAAATAACAAGAGTAACACAATAGGAGAATGGGGCTGGATAAAATTCCATTATTATCATCATGGGAAATAGCCTTGAGAAAAATACTGAGCCCAAAATATCAACAACTAAACAGCAAAGATTAACACAAGAATTAAAATACGTGTGTACAACACAGCTTAGTTTTTGATTTATGTATGCGATGAGATACATTTACATTGACAAGATTAGAATTAACACAATCTAATTATACGTCTCATTAAGATCTTTTTCCATATACACTGTAAAAATGTTTCAAGAGAAGTAGGCACACTTGTGTACTGTTACTGCCCACGTCAGACGTGTGCATGGCCAAGCACAAGGGGCAAACACCTTGCCTTCGGCAGTCTACACGTGCCCTCCGCTTGCTTTGCTTCAGGAAGAACTAAAAACTGTAAATTAGTACATACTATTCTTTGAGCTATCTTGAGGATTTCCCTTTGATAAAACTACATCCTGGACCTTTATAAGAGAGAAAGTAAATCATTTTTAAAGTGAGTAAGAGGGGAAACACCTGTTATATTTATAAACTATGAATGTCATTTTGTTTTTTATTAGACAATTGTTTTTTTTTTTCTGTTTCAAATATAATGGAAAAAGAATTTAGGTGCTAACTGAAAAGTCCAACATTCAAAATTAATTTTCTAGGGAAATAAAGTTTGTTTCATTGGAAAAAGAATAGAAGTGGCAAATGAACTGAGCCAGAGGGATTTGGATGCAAATTCTGCTTTTATGACTTAGTGAGTATGTTTGCTCTCTTAGGATATTATTTAATCTATTCAGACTGTCTAAACTAGAGACAGTGATATTTAATACCGCTGCAATAGTAAGTGCATAAGTAGTTGCAATAATTGCTGAAATACCACATGTATGACTGTGTAAAGTTAACAAGATAGTATGTCATCCTACTAAAGTTACAAAGTTTTTTTACTATCCTTCCTTCTGAGTAGTGGGGGACATAGAAGAAAAAAAAAAAAAAGAAACAAAGATAAGCTTATGCTTAGTTAACTGAATCAAAATGAACTGCTTATGCGTGAACATTCTTTAATAGCGCACTGTCTCCTGAGAGCTATCATTATGTCATGAGTATGTTCTGCATTAAACACAGGAAATTACCTATTTTATCATTTTTGTTGTTCAATAAAAAAGCAGTTTCATATGGATCAACTTAATTTTGTCTTTCTACTAAAAGCAATTTCCTCTTTCATACAAATCTACATAGATGTAAATATTTCTGTGTAAGTATACATATATACCTATGCTGCCACCTGCCTTAAACAATGCCCCTGGGTAATCTCTCTGAGAAGTGAGCATCCTTTGCTCCAGATATGATACCTTATTGAGTCACAGCATGACTTCACATAGTTATTAGCTTGCCATTAAGCGTCTTCTCTTTGGCACATAAATAGAAAAAAAGAGGGAGAAAAATAAAAGGAAAGGAAGCATATTTGTTGAAAACTAATTTTCTGTTAGTCAAGTTTTTAGTTTTTTAAAAATCAAATAATCATGAAATAATTATTTTCATTTAAGAAAGAGGAAAATTTATTCCAAAGGAGTTATCAGTTAAGTTTATGGTTTAGTAATGGATAGAAGTAAAAAATCAATACTACTGGACTTAAAAATATATTGTATTTTCACTTGACCTTTTTTGAGAATGACTGTGTTGAACTCCTGATTAATATTAAACTTTTAAATAAGGCCCGGCAGCATGGCCTAGCAGCTAAAGTCCTCGCGTTGAACACCCCGGGATCCCATATGGGTGCCGGTTCTAATCCCGGCGGCTCCACTTCCCATCCAGCTCCCTGCTTGTGGCCTGGGAAAGCAGTCGAGGATGGCTCAAAGCCTGGGGACCCTGCACCCATGTGGGAGACCTGGAAGAAGTTCCTGGATCCTCGCTTCTGATTGGCATAGCATCGGCCGTTGCGCTCACTTGGGGAGTGAATCATCGCATGGAAGATCTTCCTCTCTGTCTCTCCTCTCTGTATATCTGACTTTCCAATAAATAAATAAATCTTTTTTAAAAAAAAAGTTTTAAATATAACCAAACAGTATTCATCCAAGGCAAACACACTCTATTAGCTAGTTTTGCTTACATTATTTTACATTGGAAATATCAAGCATTTTTAAAGATAATTAAAAGTTTAAAACAATGTTCTACAAAATGTTACTTACAAAACAAATTCAGATTAACTTTTTTATTAACTTCACCACTCAGACCACAATGCATCAGGAAGTCAGGATGCAAGATACTGAATGATGACACAAAGGAAATTAATGCCAAAATGAAAATTTTTATCATTAATTTTAAAGACAAACTACTAGCACTATCTCTACAAAACAAAGTTGAAAGTTTTAGAACAGAAATAAGATGACCGATTATAATTGCCAGTACAAAGATCAAAATAGAAAAATTTTACATGTATTCAAATGACACATAAGATTCTAAACATTTTGGATAGAATGTGGCTGGTAACTGAAAATTAATGGTATGTTCCATAACAAAAAGAGAAACCAAGGCTCCAAGGTCAACTCTCATTGCATTGATTAAGCACTTTGCAATATTAGTACAGTTCAGCAACATAGGTTAACCTAACTGGAGATAAAAGTAAAATTGTAAAAATGGGGCCTCGTGCAGTGGCGCAGTGGTGAAGTCCTCGCCTTGCGCACCGGGATCCCATATGGGCGCTGGTTCTATCCCAGCAGCCCCACTTCCCTTCCAGCTCCCTGCCTGTGGCCCGGGAAAGCAGTCGAGGACGGCCCAAAGCTTTGGGACCCTGCACCCGCGTGGGAGACCCGGAAGAGGCTCCTGGCTTCGGATCGGCATAGTATCGGCCGTTGTGCTCACTTGGGGAGTGACTCATTGGACGGAAGATCTTCCTCTCTGTCTCTCCTCTTTGTATATCCACCTTTCCAATGAAATAAATAAATAAATAAATCTTAAAAAAAATTTGTAAAAATGTAAAAAAGGAAAAAATGTAAAAAAGTAAAAATGGAGATAAAAGTAAAAATGGAGATAAATGTAAAGCTAACAATTTTTAGAAAAAAAGATTAAAAATTAGGTAAGATTTAAGTAATGGGTATAAAGGACTCGTAATATATATCTTTAAAAGAATTTATTTATTTGTTTTGCAGAGATAAAGCAAAAGAGAGGAACAGATACAAGGAGAGAAAAAGAAAAAAAAAAGGAAGGAAGGAAAGGAGGGAGACCGGAGAGGGGAAGAAAGGAAAGAAGGACTAACGAATCAACGAATGTCTATTTACTGGGTCACATCTGAAACGGCCGTAACACTCAGGACTGGACCAGGCTGAAATCAGGTTCCCGGGAGTCAATCTGAGTCTCCCTGGAGGCTGCAGGACTCCAAGAACTCAGGTTATTCTCTGCTCCTTTCTACGGCACACGTGCTGGGAACTGGATTGGAAATGGAACAGCTGGGACTTGAACTGGTGCTCACATGGATGCCAGTATCATAGGCATATGAGCCGGAGTCCCAAACAAATGATTTTCTGTTTGAAAGTAAGGGTAATATTTTAGAAATATGATTTTAAAAACCAAAAAATAAGAAAACAAAACAAAACACAGCACCTTTGGCTTTGCAGAAGTGTCTACCAATGCTGATTTACCACTGGAGATTAGTTCGATCAACTCTTTTTTTCTAAGATCATATAGTACAGGTTTACTTTTAAAGATAACACGTATCTCTTCCTTTTCCTTAAATCCACATGTCTGTCATGTTAACAAAACTAACTTGAGGCTTCTCCTTTTATTGTCTGTGACTTCACTGCTACTGAGATTATAAGCTGAAAGGTTCCAATTCTGCATAGGAATGCTGACACGGAGGGCAGAGGCAGGGACCTAAGGGAACGAAGCATGAAAAAATCCAATCTTGCTTTTGGAGCAGGACTCTGACACATCCCAAAACCTCAGTGTTCTGGAACAAATTGAGGGAAGATGAAAGATAAAGAAAAAGCAAAAAGAAAACAAAACCCAGAAATACTAAAAAAGCACCTACTCTTATTACTCAAATATGAAGTTACGTATAAATTGATACATAGAAATACATCTCAAACTTAAAAGGCAACTGACATTAAAATTTCGATGAAAAGAATTAAATATTTTCAGTGGGATCAAATGATTTAAGATCTTTTGCTGCATGAACATTATTAATAAGACACACATACAATAAGTTGTGCAGTTTACAACTGTACGGAAACCGAGAAGTGGTGAGGCTGTCTGTCGCACCTGTGCTATGAGGCACCTCTGCTGGAGTGTTGGCCGGAGCATGTGCACCTGGAGGAATCTGTATTCCACTGTAGCTGCCTGCCGGCACGCTGCCTGGATCAAACGCCGAAGAGGTGGATGGCTGAGGAGGCTGAGTGGGCAAGGAGGCTGCTCCAGCAGCCTCACCTTCTTCACCATCTATTCCATAGAAATACCACATATGATAGGTATGTATGATACACATCTACACATACACACAGTGCCAAGTATTTCTATTGTATACACATAACAGATTTCATATGCAATTCTATTTCATGAATCTAATGAGCAGGTTTTATCTTAAATAGTTTCCATTTTTCTATATTAAAAATTTAATTGTTCCTGACATTATGATTACAATTCTTTTAGGTTTCTATTTTTTAATTACATAAAATTCTTGCATGCAGAATATTTTTTCTTTAAATAACAACTCTATTTTATGACTGCTGCCTTTTAGTCAATAGTTACTTTGTACTTGCTATTAAATTATTATGAATGTGTGTTCAAAGTATAGTGGACAAAAGTGAAAGAATATAATTTCACATTAAGAAAACTCTTGGTATGTTCTGAAAAATATATTTTTAAAATACATCATATTATTTGGTAAATTTGAAAACCACTTTAAGAAAATGAATTTTTGATCATACATTTAATATTGTGCATAAGACACTTGGAATTCATAGCGATTTAAAAATAAAGAAAAATCAAGTTTGGGATATAGATTTTACTGGCTTCCATTCATTTCAACATACCATTTTCTGATGATTATAATATTACATATTCTATGCATGTAACTGCAAATAAAAACAAGGTTACATATTCTTAAAGATGGGTATTTTGCTAGGAAATTTTGTGGATACATTTATACTCATTTTCATTAAAATAATTTTTCCCTCTGTTGGAGAATTTTAGAACTGTAAAAAAGAGAGAGATTTGTTTCTTTCCAGCATAGCAAAAAGGTGGTCAATTCCAAGTTACAAAAATAGCACAGAGCAGAAATCAACTCCACCAGACCTTAACTGAGAAGTTTGGCCACAAAACTGAGAAACTGTGTAAGGTACCCAGCATGTAATATTTTCTGGAAGCCAAAGAATAGGCATTTTTTTGTTACTGTGAAGTGTGGTGCTGCTGTAATAAACTCTCAAAAATGTGGAAGTGGTTTTAAGACTGGGTAGAGGCTCAAGGGTATGCTCAAAATCCAACTGTTGGAGGTGATTTTGGTGAGGTCTCAGAACAGGGGGTACATCACTGGAAACTAGGGAAAAGATGACTTTGTATCCATATGCTGGGGAAGATTTTGCCCGAATTACATTCTAGTGCTGTGTGGAATTCTGAGGTAAAACTAGTTATTTATTATTTTTTAAAAATATGTATTTATTTGTGAAAGCCCAGATTCAGGGAGACACAGAGATCTTTCATCTGCTGTGTCACTCCCTAGATGGTGGCAATGGCCAGGACTGAGCCAGGGCGAAACCAGGAGGTAGGGTCATCTTCCAGGTTTCCCATTTGAGCAGTAGAAACCCAAACATTGGGGCCATCCCACATTGCTCTTCCCAAGCATTAGCAGAATGCTGGGTCAGAAGTAGAACAGCGGGAATGGACTGGTGCCCATATGGGATGCCAGTATTGCAGCCTGCAGCTTTATTTCTTATGCCACAATTCATGCCCCCAAACTGTGTCTTTTAGTAGAGATTCAGCAAAATACTGAAGGTACAGCTTAGTCATTATTGCTTATAGTAAAATGGAAGAAAAGTGAAGAAGGGATTACTAGATAAAAGGTGTCAGAACTTGAATATCTGAAAAATGGTTAGTCCATTCATATTGGCAAAAATCAAAAAGTCTGAGGAAAACACTAATGATGTAACTGAACAACAATATAATAGATATGATGGGTGAGATTCAAAGATTCAGTCATCTCAGCAAGAGCCAGAAATTTATATGGGAATACACAGCAGCAAAAACACTGCAGGGACTCAAGTGGACAGAACACAAACAATAACAATATCACCACCAGTGAGTCCAGAGAGCAGAGCACTGTCTCAGAGAAGTGTTTTCAAAACTTAACCTCCAATGAAACTTGCCTTGCTTGGAATGTGTCATGCTTTTTTTTTTTTTCCCTTTCTGATTTTTCTCTTTCAAAATGGGAATGTCTCTCCAACCCATCCCTATTGAACAACTGGGATTCTGTATTTCAGCAGCACGTAAATGCTCTGCACTCACAGGTCCACAGCTGGAGGGCAATTCTGCCTCAGAACGGAACCCACAATTCTTATCACTTACTCTAAGAAGCTGTTCAGAGGCTGTTTAGAGATTTGGCCTTTAGACTTTAGAATTGATATGGGAATGAACATTTTTGGGTTTAACAAACTGGAAGCAATGTCTTTTGTAGGAAATAAAGATACGAATTTTGGAGGGTGAAGTATGGAATAATATAGGCTGAAACACACCCCTCCAAAAATTCACAGGTCATCTAATTGTAACGTTATTACAAAATAAGTTATTTAGAAAATAACTAAATTTAAGTCATTTAATAAGGATTAGGTGAGTTGAGTAAAATGACTGTCTCTAAGAAGAGGAAGGTGGATGATTCATTTCACCATTTGAGTTTAGAAATACATGATTTAAGTAGATAAACAAAAGAAACAGTGCTCTTTGTGGCTTGAAAATGCTTTATAAATTACATATTGATTGTAATGGAGGTAGGAATGAAATATGACTGACTCCAGGAAGTACCAGGCCCTGTTCTGAAATGGACAGACTTCTCAGCAGTTTGGTTTCAATACCTCACTGTCTTACGTTTAAATTTTACCCTTCTCTTAGATTTTAGATCTGATGAAAACAAATTATACTATAGTTCCGTATAGTAAATTTATGAGTAATTATCTACTGAATACTGATGATACTACTAAGTCATTTCCCTTAGAACAAATAAATGCATACCATTATCTTCATCAATTCCAACAGGGCCTGCTTGAGGAGTCTCTCCATTCTTCAAACAATTATGGATATATGTGGCCTTCCACCTTGCATATTTTCTGTGTTTCACATTCTAAAAAAGAATACCTTCACATCAATATTAGGTAGTACAAAAGAAATGAGAACCAAGTATTTTAGATGACCTATATTCATATTTAAAAAGTTTCCCATTCTATTATGGCATCTAAAAACTTCTTAAGGCATTAAGGGCTTCATGAAAAGACATTTTACTGAAGAAATAATTCTTTCCTTTATGCTTTCATATGAAAGTTTGGCAGCAGAAGTAAGAGTATTCATTCAGTAAAAATGACAATTCATCCCTAGTTGTCATTTAGTTCTTCCACATGGAAGAAGTAAACTTAGTGGAATTGTAAAAATAAAATACCAAGTTATTTTCACCAACAATGAAAAAAAAAAAACTATGCTGTGCAGTTCTAGAAAAACAAAAAGAGGAAATAATTAGTGGTAAAAACAAACAATAGATGGCAGCCAGACAAACCTGATTTTATAGGTATTTAACAGGTCTGGATTCCAGTTACCTCATTTTTAGAAAGGCGAAAATATCACACTGGGCTCTTACTATGAGAATTGAAAATGTTAAAGAACTTGCAAGCTGACTCTTCTTCTATGCATTGATTTATGATATATGCTATAAAATCAGACAAAAATTACTCTAAAAATAAGAGTAAATTTTCTTTGAGTTTTGGATGAGCCCATAACTATTAGTTCATATTTTCCATTAATCTTCATAATCATCATCTAGTTATCACCTGGGGGCATGCCAGCAATGCATAATATTCATATCTATCTTAGAGCTCCTGAGCAAGAGTCTGGTAGAGTAACGATTTCTAGGTGATTATTCTGAACAATGGCATTTCAGAGAACAGTTTTACTATGTTGAAAGCGCACCTGTATTGGAATTGGAGCGGTTTTCTGCAAAGATTCACAAGTGGTCATTCATTCTAAATATATATCACAGCACACAGACAGTTGAGTATTCTTTTAATGTGAATGCAGACACCAGTACAGACAACTTCTACATAGAAGTCTCAAAAAAGCAACACCCGAATTACTGATTTTGCCTCACATGTCATTTTCCTATTCTTATCAAACATTTCTTTTAAAATCCGAGGCTTGACAGAGTTCATGGGAAAAAAATGGGTACTTTTTAAAAGGCATTTTAAATTTATGTACTTAAAAGGTAGAGACGGGGGAAGGAAGGGCAAGATATTGGGATCTTCCATCTGCTGGTTTACTCCCTAAAAGACCACAACAGCTGAGAGTGGACCAGACCAAAGGAGCCAGAAACTCCATACTCGGAACAGGTCTCGGTGGGAAACAGATCTAGGTCCAATAGATGTGTGCTGGGGACTCAATTTCTTGAGTCATTACTTAAGCTGCTCCTTGGGTATTCACTATTAGGAAGCTGTAACTGGGAACGGAGCTGGAGTTAATTCCAGGCAATCTAATGGAGAGAGGCTGAGCCTCAACTGACAGCTTAACTGACAGACCAAATGCCTGTCCCTTAACCAGAACCTTCTGAATCATTCTTGGACTCCATTTTAAAAACATGCTCCACACATTGATGCCTCCTTTTCTCAAGTATAACTATACCCTGTGCTGCTTTCCAAAAAAGCTTCTGAAAGGACGTGGTCACATACAAAGTCTTCAGTTCTTTATAATTTAGTTCACTTGTGGGTGGAGTCCAGTTTATTTCTTGTCTATTTATTTAATATTATTATATCACAAAAAGGTTAGAGAATCTGAATGTTTTCTAATGGGAAAAGAGCCTACATTTTCTAGTCTGTATCACACTTGTCAGTTCAACTGAGAGTTAACTGAGGAATACATCGAGAAAATGGGGGATACAGAAGTCAAAACACTTGTTATAAAACTTATTATCAACAACGAGAAGCACATAAAACAGGCATTCAAGGAATTTAATATGTCACACAGGAAACGGATCAAACAAAAGCTGATATATCAGAAATGAAGAATACAGTGGTGCAAATTAAAAGTACAGTGCAGAGTCTCCAAAATAGAATGAAGGAGGCAGAAGAAAGAATCTCAGAATTAGAAGAAGATATTTCCTGTCACCAGGGAGAAACAAACAAAGAACTGGAAGCAGAGCTGGATCAGGCTAAAAAAGTATTGAAGAATATAAGAGTTATGGGAGTCACAGAAGGTACAGAAAAGAGAAGCTGGGTTTACAAATGTAGTCAATGAAATACTAATGGAAAATTTCCCTAATCTAAAGAAAGAATTGGGCAGCAACATGTAGGAGGGGTCCAGAACTCCCAACAGGGTTGACCAAAAGCGATCTTTACCACGACACATGATAATCAAGCTCTCTTCAAATGAACATAAGGAAAAGATCCTTAAATGTGCACATGAAAAAAATCAGTTGACATATAAAGGAATGCCAATTAAACTCACAAGAGATCTTTCACAGGAAACTTTACAGGCCAGAAGAGACTGGAGCAACATATTTCGAAAGGCAAACAATTGTCGGCCCAGGATAATGTACCCAGCAAAACTTTCCTTTGTCTTTGAAAATGAAATAAAATTCTTTCACAGTAAAGCAAAGTTAAAAGGATTTGCCTCTCTAAACCTGCCGTACAAATGATACTTAAAGATGTTCTCTTGTAAGACGGAAGCAGTGTCACCCACCAAAACCAAGGGTAAATATGAGGAATATCCCAGTAGAATAACAGCAGAAGACTGAATTAATGAACAGCCCATTGCTAAAATGACATAACCAAATTACCATCCATTCATGTTAACCCTGAATGTAAATGGCTTAAACTCATCAATCGTCATGGATTGGTGGACTGGGTTGAAGGACAAAACCCATCTAATTATTGCCTGCAGGAGACACATGTCACTGGTAAAGATCAACGGAAACTATAACTCATGGTTTTTGATACTTTTTGTTGGTTTCACCTCTTCAAAAACACCTTCTTCTGACTAAATTCTTCAAAGACTCATGGATCACAGAGTAGCATCATTTTCTTCAGGAAGGTTCTTGATTTTCTTTTTTGTTTCTTAAGCAGCACGTTGGTTATTCAGTGGCATGTTCTTTAGCTTCATGGTGCTGTTAATTTCTTTTTTTTTTTCTTCCTGTTGTTGATTATGTTTTGTGGCTTTTCTTTTGGGGGGATGTATAGTGGCTGTGTAATGGAGACTATCATATCCAGATGTGACGATACAATGCATTTGCATCTCTGCTTCCAGACAAAGATGGACTCCCACTGAAACTGTTTACTATATCTTGACAGTGAAATGCTGGACTCTGCCACTGTCCATGCCCGCAATGATGGACATAAGACCGTGTATTAAGAACTATGCTGTGTTAGTGATATGGGGGAACTCGGTGAGGGAGGCGGGAGTTGGAGAGGGGATGGGCAAAATCCCACGGCCTATGGAACTTTATCATATAATAATCATAATAAAAATAAGTCAAATTAAAAAAAGTTAAAAAACATATCATGAGCTGACCTTCATCTGAAATATGCTGAAATATGACCATGCTCTGAAATATCCCCCAACTCCATCTTACTTCTATTCTTGTCCTGCCCTTACCACATTTTCCCTATATAGTACTCCTGATTGCTGTTTCTAAAATACAAATCCACTCAAGTCACTTTTTGTCTGGTTTCTTGATGTACTTAGAAAACAAGACAAACTATAACATTTTTCTTGACTGTTCAATATACACTTACTGTCTATATCCCAGTCACCTCTGCCTTCCTCCTTTTTCCTCAATAAGTAAACTGACCACTACTCACTATGTGAAGTACCAGGGGTAAGAGAAGCAAACAAGTCAGACATGATGAGCATTAAAGTTCAATGTGAAAGAAAGGCAGTAAGTACCCTCCCTAAAATGCTCCTGCTTAATTTAAGTCCCATAATCTTTCTTTGCTTTTAACCTCTTCTTTATTATCTCACCATTATGAGATGGCAACATGTCATGCCAAAAGTAAGATGACTTACTCTGGGTCACACTATCTTAGCGGTAAAAGTCACCCAAATCAGGGCTTTACCACACTATAATTTTCAATTCAGAGGAAATATGTATGATAATGGAAACTGGACTTGAAAAGATCAGCTACATAATGTGTATTAACAAAACACATATTTGGTAGATATACAGGGCCATTTTGAAAATAAATGAATAAATAGCTTAGAAAGTTTTAAACTGCCTTTCTTAGGTGATCTTTAAAAAATAAGCCAAATATTCCTTGATTTGAAATAATTTAATCCTAAAGACATAATGGGAAAATATTTATTATAATGACTTCAGAAGGTTCTTTTTGTCTCAATTTTATAGTATGAACAGGTGAATAAATTTAAAGTACCTTGGAGCTCTTTGCTAGTGTATGAAGTTTGAGAAAACATTAATTTAAGACAAAAGGGTTCATTTTAGCAAGCACATTAAAAAAATGTCCCCATTGGAGATAAACCAGTGAAGTATTTTTCACTCTACTGTTTCTATGACACCCTTATTTCTGCAAGTGCGTGCATATATTTATAACAAACATAACTTCTGGTAGTTGTCACTTAAAATTAACTCATGTCTTAATATTGTTTAGACTAAAGAAAAACGTTTTAAGTGGAAAATTTTAAGATGTCAATATTTTTGAAATCTGTTAAATTCCTTCTGGCTGACTGGACATCCTTTTTGGGACACAGGAATTATAAGAAGAACTTTCACTTTTGTGCCTGGCCTCTAAGTTCCTGTTTTGTAACCGGTCTGATGAAAATCACTGACACCTGCAAGTTTCAGCAAGTGGAGTCAGCAGTGGAGTACAGGACTTTTCCTTTACATCTATTTTTCCTTGGTACGCTGATGAACGATAGCAACTATACGCTGCAACAGGCGTTTTCAACATCAGTGTATGTAAGAATCACATGAGAGTATAATAAAAATTATTTCTGAATGAAACGAGGGAAACTCTCATTTAAATCATTCTCCATTAGCAAACTAAAAAAGTTACCTTAAAAGGAATTTTTACATATTTCAACTTATTTATATAAAGTGAACAAATTTCACACATGTGAGAACAGAGTCAG